TTGTTCATGTTAATTTGTGTGGAATATTTTTTCCATTCCTTCATTTTTAGCCTGTGAATATCTTTTGTTCTGTGGTGAATCTTGTGTTGACAACCTATATGTGGGTCATGTTTTCTTAAGCATTCTGCTACCCTATGCCTTTGGCTTGGAGCAGTTAATCATTTACATTTAAGGTTATCATTGATAGGTACTTATTCATTGCCATTTTTCCCTTTGTACCTGTGTCCTCTCTCTCCCTCTTTCTCTTTATTTCTTCCTCTTCTTAAAGCAGTCCCTTTAGCATCTCTTGCAGTGCTGGCTTGGTGGAGATGCACTCTTTCAGCCTTTTTTGTCTGGAAAGCTCTTTATTTCACCTTCCTTTTTAAATGAGCCTTGCTGGATAGAGTAGTCTTGGTTGCAGGTCCTTGCTTTTCATTACTTGGAATATTTCTTGCCAATCCCTTCTAGTTTGTAGTGTTTATTGAGAAATCAGCTAATAACCTTATTGGAGCTTCCTTGTATGTTACTAGCTGTTTCTCCCTTGCTGCCTTTAAGATGGTCTCTGTGTCTTTAAATTTTGCCATTTTGGTTATAACCTGTCTTGGAGTGGGCCTCTTTAGGTTAATCTTGATTGGGATGCTCTGTGCTTCTTGGACCTGCGTGACTTTTTCCCTCACCAAGTTAGGGAAGGTTTCCATTATTATTTTTTCAAACAGGTTTTCTATCCCTTGTTCCTTTTGTTCTCCTTCTGGTATCCCTATTATGTGAATATTGTTGTGTTTCAACTTGTCCCAAAGCTCCCTTAGGCTATCCTCATTCTTTTTGAGTCTTTTTTCATTTTGTTGCTCTTACTGTACTTTTTTGTACTTTTCCTCCCAACTCACTGATCTGATCCTCTACTTTATCTAGCCTGTTCTTAATCTCTTCTAATGTGTTCTTCATCAGCTAGTGCATTCTTCATTTCCATCTTGTTCTTATTCAAGGTTTTTATGTCCTTTTTCATGCAGGTGAAGGTTCCACTAATTTCCCTGTAGTTCTCACTAAATTCCTTGAGCATCCTTATAACCATTATTTTGAACTCTATGTCTGAGAAGTTGCTTGCTTCATTTTCGCTTAGCTCTTTTTCTGGCTATTCCTTTTTTTCTTTCACTTGGGGGTTGTTTCTCTGTCTCCCCGTTTTAGTCATCTCTTTGTGCTTGTTTCTATATATTAGATTGATTTGCTTTGACTGTCTGTCTTGTGGAGTGGCCTTGTGTGCTAAGAGTTCTGTGGGGCAGAGTGGTGCAGACTCTTTGATTTCCTGATCTGGATGCTCTAGGAATGAGCTCTGTGTGGGTTATATAGACTCTTCCGTTGCATTTGGGTTCTGGTTATTCCTGGCCCATTTGTTGGTGGAAGCTCTCATCTATCTGGCTGGCTAAGAGTTTCAAGCCCTACCATGTGTTGTATGCTGTTTTATTTGTGCCAGCAGAACAAAGCAAAACAATAGAACTCCACACCAAAACAAGCACACTCCCTGCTGCTCACCACAGCTATATCAATAGCAAGAGAGTAAAGAATAATAAAAGCATAGAGAGAAATGGGCAAGTAGGGTAAGGGGAAAGGAGAGAGAATATGAGAAGACCAAAGGAAAGGAAAGTGATTATGAGAAGAAAAATGGGAAGAGAGCTACCACTCATGAGTTGAAAGAGGAAAATGGGGGAAAGGAACACAGTAAAGGTAACAAAATTAATAAATGGAGAAAAGGGAAGAGTGGAGTGCCCAAAGATAAGAGCGAGAGATATGAAAGAAAAATTAGAGCACCAGAAATAAAAGAAAAAGAAAAAAACAGATAAAAAGTATAAATAAAATGGCTAGGAAAAAGAAAAAAATACTAGGATAATGAAAGAAGAACCAAGTGGATTTGTCTCAGCACAGTTTAGTTCTTGCCTTCTGGTATCTTCCTTTGGATTGCACTCTGATATCTGAATCTGATGGAAGCCAATGCCTGGTGCTGTTCACATCTGGCCCTTGGCTGCCTTTTCAAAGCTACAGGTGATCTACAGTTTGTGGCTGATTCCTCTGGGCTTGGCTACTCCCAGGTTGGGCCAAGCTGCTTTGAAAAGCTGACCTTTATCTGCACTGGGATCCAAGGGTGTGTCAGCAAATGTCCCAAGTTGCCACAGGATCCACCTCTGCCAGTCTTTGCCTGCTGGCCTACTGTCAATCTTAGGATAGTCGCAAACCAGACTATTTCTGGGATGGCCCCTGGAGGAAATGAGGAGCTGTGGATTCCTGGATATCCCATGGTAGGTGCCTTTCAGACTTCAGGGAAGATGGTGTGTTTGTTCCCCTCCCCTGAGCCACTTATCTGAGTCTCAGGGGTGGGGCCCCTGTTAGTGTTCCTGAGCCCAGATTTTGGGTTTCTAGGTGCCAGAAGGGTGTTTGTGTGGCTCTCTGGTGAGAGGGGAGCATCAGTCTGTTTCCCAGGATAGTGTATGCATTGGTTGCACACTACTACCAGTCTCTGATGACCCCAAAGTCTATTTATGTTGCTGTCTCCTCAACAAGGATTAAAATGAAGGATGGGAGAGAAGGCAGGGTAAAAAAGAAAAAGAACACAAGCCAAACAGAATACCAACACAGAGCAAAATCGACAAGACAGCAAAAAAAAAAAAAAAAAGAATGGGCTGAGTGGAGCGAACAGGTTTACAGAGGTTGTGGTCAGGGGATTTCCAGAGGGCGGGGGAGCGGTATCCCACAAGGTAAGGTGATGTATTTTCCCCTGGGAGGGGCTTGCTCTTCTCAAGGAAGATGGTGGTTGTGGAGCCCAGGTATGTTGGAGCCCTGAAAATCACAGCCGCTCCCCCAGGACTCTCCCCAGTGGCTCCCACTCCAGACTCTCCTCATGCAACTCCAGACTGCACCACCCTCCCTTCACTGGGGCCCAAGGTGGGTAGCCGCACACAAAACCTGTGCTTTGAACCTTTAAGGGAGGAGAAAAAGACCCAAAACCAACCAACCAACCAACCAAACAACCAACAAACAAGCAAAAAACAACAAAACAAAGATGGTGGGTTTGTCAAATCTTTTCTAATTGTTGCCTGGTAATATCTCTCCCTCTCTGTCTCTCTCTCTCTCTGTATACATGAAGTACATGATGAAGTATACATGTGTACATGTATTCTCTATGTGTATACATGAAGACCATACATATATATACGTATAAAAATAAAGCTGATGAGAAATAGTCAATATGAAAATCTATTTCATCTCTAACCTAACCCTCTGGTATCTCCTCCCTTTTCCTGTTTTGTTCCTGTCTTTACCCTTTGTTATATAGAAACCATTTCAGTTGTAGTATTTAAATAAGCATGCAATAATTGTTTCTCTGTGTCAGCTTGGTTAGCTATAGTCCTAATTATTCAATCCTGCACTAATGTAAACATTGCTGTGAAGATAAAGTGTACCTATGACTAAAGTCCAAAATCAGTTCACTGATTATGAAGGAGATCTTCTCTAATCTGGGTGGGTCTGTTTAACACCCTGAAAGGCCTCAAGAGCAGAATTGAGGCTCCCTAAGGAAGAAGAAATTCTACTTGTAGACAGCAGCTTCTAGAACTCTTCTAGAGTTGCAATGGCCTGTGCTATGGATTTTGGACTCACCTAGCCAGCCTCCATAACAGTGTAAGCCAATTCCTTGCAATAAATTTCTGTTCCTTTTTTCCAAATTATAGGAGAAAGTTTATTTATAAAGTTACAAAGGTAGTAGAAGTGAACCAGCTGGGCTGTGTAGGCTCAGGAAACAAGTTACAGAAGCAAAAGGAGGGCCCTTGGAGCTTACAGGAGGGAAAGGCAAAGGTGATGTACCTGGGGGAAGAAGAAGGGGACAGGAAGGTGTGGGAACACTGCCAAGAGGGAGAGTCTGCAATAAATTTCTTTAAAAAATATTTTATTTATTTTTAGAGAGAGGGGAAGGGAAAAGGAAAGAGAGAAAGAGAAACATGGATGTGTGAAAGAAATTTTGATAGGTTACCTCTTGGGGACCAGGCCCACAGTCCAAGCATGTGCCCCGACATGGAGTTGAACCTTTTGTTTTGCGGGAAGCTCAACCCACTGAGCTACATTGGTCGGGGCTGAATTTTTAATACATATCTTCTATTGATTCTGTTTCTGGTTGAATCCTGACTGACAACAAAATTTAGATGCATTTTAGATTCTTCCAATGCACTGGACAAGAACAAAAAGAGGGAAAGTAGATACCTGATTATCAAATTGCTCACATTAGATTTCCTCTTGTAATATAGAGCTGAACAGATGACAGAAATCTCAGAACCAGTGAAATAAGGAAGATTATGTGAGGCTAAATTGAATTTCAAGTCTACAAATGCTTAAAAGAGCCATATACATGGTAATAGAGATAAAACTTTGGAGCAAAGTTATGCTTATTCTTATTTACTAAAACAAATAATAGTTTCTTGCATTTTCTAAATTTACTGTATTTTGCTCTTTATAGTGCACTCTTGTTTATGATATGCACCCTCATTTTTGGCCCAAACTTTCAGGAAAAAAATCTTTCATTGAAAAATTTTAATTCATTTTTTTACTTATTTATATTTAGAAACAAAGCTGATTACCATATTCCAGGGTATTATTTTGCATACAGATATCATTATTGCTTTTTAGAATTATGCTTTTAATATATAAGCATAAATAAAAGAATTTAAAACATTTCTATAGTTATAAAATTAGTACTACCCATGTATAATATATATCCTTATTTTTCCCTCAAAAGTTCAGGCAAAAATGTGTGCATTATACATGGCAAAGTGTGGCACTTTGGAATTTAATGTATAAAACATAATGGATACTGAATTTTTATTAGGCAGATGTAAAAATCTTCAGATACTGTAATTTTACCTTTTTTAATCATTCTAAGTATACAAAATCATAAATATTATGAATGCAATGAACTATTAAGATCTATGGCCACACTAACCATCAAGAACTACCAGAGTAGTAGTTCTATGTAGTATGTTTTATGTTGTATAGGAAGTAATAAAGAAATTAAAATCACTGAAAAAGGAAGGAAAATATGGAGCATTTGCCTGTGCTTTAGGCCTCTGTGGACAGCCATCTGCAGGGAGTGGCATCTAATGCTTTTAACTAATGAGAATCTCAACAAAGAATCCTGCTGCATGTATGTATACGTGGCTTAGCACATGTGGTTAGAAGAGGAGAATATGGAGGAAGATAAGAAATCAGTTTACATCCGAAGGGAATGACTGCTTGTAGGAAGGTAGGAGGGATTCCCAATGAGAAGTATGTCCCAAGCAAAGGGGACTTTATGAACTGATGACATCACTCTAGAGAACAACATCAAAGTTATCCTTAGTGGGAGGGTATAGATACATTATGTCCTCACGAGAAAATAATAACAGTGGAAGGTACTGAGAGTTATTCTGGAGATAAAACATCAATACATAAAAGAGCTACTACAAAAGTTATAGTCATTTAACACAATTTTGATAATATTACCAATGTTCTATCACTTTACATCTTGGAACTTATGTAGGTTGGGTCCTCCAGGAAGCAGATGCTGGAATAAAGTTACAAATTTAAGAGATTTATTGGTGGGGGGGTGGGGGTTAACATCTGTGAAAGCAGAAAGGTTTGGGCACGGAGAACTGTCACAATATACTGCAGAGCTGACAAAGTCTCTGCCAGTTCAGCAGGGACCTCTGAAGCAAAGATTACCCATTAATGGGGTCCAGTGTCAGGCAAAAGTGGCTAGACCTGTGTCCTCACCTGCTCAGTAAATGGCCAAGTGCCACCTGGAAAATAGCATGACCTCAGGTTGAAAGCTAAAGGAAACCCTTATAAAAAGGCTGGAGTTTGCTGATTACTCAGACTCCTTGTTGTTGGGTAGAGTGTGCTTTCTTGACAAGAAATCAGTCTGCCTATCTCCATGTCCGCCCCAGCACTGTAGTGTGGCACTCATAGAATTTGGGTGGCTGTGTATTTGGAGATGAAAACTAAGTAGGCCTGAACAGGAGGTGTTAGTGAAGTGCACTAAAATTCTAAAATTCCAGTTGAGGTAGTTTATAGTGGTACACCACCACCCATTCCTTAGGTAACTAGAGCGGTGGCCACCAACAGATTAGGGATTAAAACTATTGGATGTCGTGTGAGGAGTCTAAAATGGTAAGACTATTGTTATTCACATTTCATCCCACATAACTTGCTCCTAGTGGGAGAACTCAGGGCCTCACTTGTGATGGCCTGTTACTGGTCAAGCTGCCTTAATTGTGCAATGGGCGAAAGGAGTTCAGAATGGCTTTTTCAGGGGGAAGATGAGAAAGAATCATTTGTTAAACAAAGATCAAGAAGGTGGGATTTAAGAAAAGTTGGATTGGCTCTTTTTGATGCATCACTTTTTTCTGGTCTTCTGTACAAGCTCCCCAGTAGTGATGTACAGAAAGAAATGAGGGCGTTTGGGGAGTGGGGATGGAGGGGGGTGTATAATAGCATGGGGCTCAATACAGTGGAGGGTCTGGAGTGTCACCACTTTCTAGAGATTTGGCTTTGGACAGGTTCCTCAACCTTCAGTGCCATAGTTTCCCGATTCGTTAAACAAGAATTATAGTTGTGCCGATATTGTGGAGTTGCTGTGAGGATGAAACAATATAACGCATGCTGTCCCTGGCTTGAGAAGTGTTCAATACCTGTCAGGTGTCATTCTACTCCACTTTTGCTTTTTTTCTCTTCCTTCTCCACTGGGTGGGGAAATGCTTTCTTGTCCACTTTTTTTCACCTGTTCTCTAGATGAGCAAAATGTTCACAAAATTTGGGAGGAGGGTAAAATTGAAAGAGCCTATAACTCTAACAGGATTCAGCATGTCTGCTTTTGGTCAGGTCTTTGGTTTTCATTGCTGTATTCTCAGTACAGTTCTGGGTGAGCCGGGTGTAAAAAATGGCCTCTGTCCAGAGCAGCAGTCTATTTGAAAAGGAAATGGACATATAAATGATTAATGGAAATAAAAGCACATATTAAATTAAGCTCTAAATAACCCATACAGATCATAAGTGATGTAAAAATCTAATTTCACTCTGCTGACATTGGCTATGAGGTTTTTTCCAAAAGTGATTTACTCTCTTTTTATTTTTCTTAATAATGTTTTAATAAATCAGTGACTGTTGTTTTGATTACTGAAAGGTGATGTCATTTGGGTGAAATTATGAGGGTGAGCTCTTATATAGTAAAACAATAAAATGTCTTATGTTTATTTAAATATAAAATATATTAACTAAGCTAAAAAGAAAGCAAGTTTGAAGAAATTTAAATATATTATTACCTCTTAATATTGTTAGTCTATTAATGCTCTCTACCGCTATATATGGTAAATTGGCAAAGATAGGAAGAGCTGATGAACACTTTGAATAAAACTCTTAGGAGGGCATAATTTTTATTTGGTTGTTGATCTCAATAAGTTTGTCTTTGTCTTATTCCTTCTAATTTAAGTAAGTAATGAGGCTCATCCAATGGCTTTCTTCATTCCAGAAATCCCCTTTGGCAATTCAGGAGTTAAAAGTAAAAAAGATGGCTGGGCTAAATCACGTGGGATCTTAACGTAGCTTCAGCTTATAGAAGGCAGGTCTTTGGGTTAAAAGGTCCTTGATCTATGCTGCCCATCACATTCTTCTACTTCACAGAGAAACATGCTCTGTGCCCTGTGGGAGATACACGTACAGTAGGTGTGGATTTAAAAAAGAAAAGGGTTCTATGGAAAGTAACCTCACAGGGTGATCTGATCATAATTCCTAACCAGGCAGGTCATGGTGAGTACTCAACAACCAGGCCTATAACTTTAGTGAAAGGTTTTAAGGTAGCCCTGCCCATTGTTTCTATGCATCTAGGTTAACACACCTTTGAAACACCAGAAGTAACTAACACCCTTGAAATAGGGTATTAACCGTCTAGAGAGCACATAATCTTAACAGTAATCCAATCCCCACCTTGCTTTCTCTAATCTTCTTTAAGTCCCCTTGTTAATATCAAATGCATAAAAGAAGCAGCAAAACTATTACCTTCCCGAGTATTTGAGATCTTGCTAACTGGCGTATGTCATCAATTAGGCTCAGATGAAGTCTTCTAAAAATTGTCTACAAGTTTGGACATTTCTATGCTTACAGAGGTCACGTGTGGTTAACACACTGAGAGTGTTTTACAACGTTACACACAAAGTGATTCCTTGTTGTTAAACTCTTTCGGATTATTAATGTATAACCACAGAAATAGTTCCTATCACTTCATAATTTTCTTATATCCTCCCAGTAACCAAGGGCTCTAAAGGCCTCTTTCCATGGTGAGATATGAATACGGCTGAAGAGTCCTTTTTGGATTTACATCTTTTAGTATCGAGGAAAACAGCAACAAAAAATGTTTTCAAGGTACCTCTTATCTTACTGATGATGAGCGTTTTATAAATGTCATACACATGGATCTCCCCGCATTGTCCTAGGCCTGGTGAGTAATAAGAGGAAATGCTGGTTAATGGGTGGCAGGTCCCCAGGTGTTCTAGGAATGCGTTCCCTCCCTTCTCCACCTCTGCTTCTGCCTAGTGTGATGGTGCACCAGCCCGTGCCAGTGCGAAAACCGCACAACAGAACAGACCAATCAAGGACGGAGATCTCCGCCCCCCACCTTTTGCCACCGCCCACTCTCGGCCAGCTGACAACCTCCACAGCTCCCAGTGATTATTCTTACTTTTCCATCTCCTCCCACCCAACCAACGCCCCCTCCAGTCGCGCCGCGGATGGGACGCCGAAGGACCAAGCGGGCATGCGCGACCATCCCGAGCATGCTCAGTAGCGCGCGCGGTGCGCCCGAGCTTGAACAAGCTGCCGCTGACGCGGAGGTCTCCGCGGCTGCCGCGGGAGCGACAGGAAGTGAAGCGGCCCGTCCCTGTGACCGCGGAGGCAGAAACCGAGGCGGAAGGGACCCTGCGGCGACGTCGTCGTCGTCGGCGGGGGTGCCGGAGGGGGCTGAGCATCTAGGGGACTCGCCGGCTGCGAAGCCGGATCCCGAACCGGGCAGGATGGATTATCACCAGCCGGGGACCGGCCGCTACCAGGTGGTGAGTTTCTAGGCCCCGCCCCGGCCTCCTGAGCCTCTGGGGGACCCTCCACTGTCTCCCGCCGTGCCCCCTAAGAGTCCTTTTTCATGGATTATTTCCGGAAGGGACGTGCTGGCTTTTCTTTTCTTTTTCTTTCTTCTTCTCCTTTTTTTTTTGGTAGCTCTTCTGGTCGGACCTGCTTTCTTCACATCTTTGGAACCTGTTTCTGCACCTCTTGAAGACCCCTCCCGATCCGCCTTCTAGCTAGCTCCCCACCCACACCCTGTAGCCGTCTGTACAGCATCCACTTCTTTAAAACACATCTGTTTTATTTATCACTTTTTCTCGATCATTTTCTTCATTCCCTGATTCAGACACTTGTGAGACATTCCCCTGGATTGTCTGCTGGAAATGGTACAGAGTTCACACACCTGCTGGGAAGGTGATCGCCATCATAAATGGAGTGGGGGAAGGAGGAGGAGATGTAAGCATTACGCAGGGTCAGATGTGGACTTGGCGGAAAAAAAAAATAAAAAGGAGGGGGGGAATTAAAAATTGTAAAACGGTAGAGAGTAGCCGTGATGCTGATATGGTCTGTGAGCGCTACTTAACCTTGTCATTTTGTCCTTTTCCATTTTGTTGGTACATACTGAAAGTGACTACTCTTTTTTTTATCCCCACTATTTTTTTGCCCCTATGTGGGGAAATAGGATGTTTTTTACTAGAAAATGCTAATCTTGTTAGAAAAATAGTTTTCATTATGTACAGAATTTTCCAGTTTAACCGTATAAACCATTGTATGTTGAAATGAGTGAAAAGTGTACCTCTATTATTTTCATTGTCAAATTTTCTAATGTCCTCAGTCCAGCACAAATAAGGCTTGGTTGAGTCGTTGGTAGGGTGTTAATATGGGTATAATAATTTATAGTTTTAATGTAAACATTTCACTTAAAATGTCATATGGTGTGCTTTAATGTGAGAGTTATGTTACAGAATTAATTACATACTTATGATTTTGCAATAAAACGTTTTGTAATAAGAAGGGGCGTTATTTGTGCCGGACCTTGTTTCCCGCCCCCCCCCCCTTATTCTGGTGGTGTCATTGGAACCCAGATTTAAAAGATGGACTCAGCAATAGTTCAGTGTTTTGTTCCAGCTGATGGGCAGTTATTAGTATTGTTTGTAATATTTGTTCCAGCTGATGGGCAGTTATTAGTATTGTTTGTAATATTTTACAAATGTATACGCGTTAGTGGAGATTTCACCTTTCAAATCTATTTGCACATGTGAAACTTACTTCTAAACTAAGAATTTCAATTAATAAGTGCATTTTGACAAATGTGAAGACTACTGCAAGATGAAATCCCAATGTAAGTTTGAATTTTTCTATGACAAAAGCTGGTGATGCTTCCATTTCATCTGGTTTACATCCTGTAAAACCTCCGAGTGATCCATATTCTGAAATCTTTGGAAATTTATCAGGTTTTTTTTTTTCCAGGATAGTTTGGAAAACATTGCTGCCGATACGTAAGACATTTTTCGGGTTCTCAGGGTATATGGGTTTGGTGGTCTTATTTTTTTCAGGCATTCTTATTTTTGCAGACGTTAACAGAAACAAAATGCATTAAGGAAAATATTGAGTACTCTTACCATGGGAATAGTTCCTTTTTGTAATCCTTTTTCTTTCCTGTTCCAATTTGTTTTCCTGAATGGCATTGACTGGTTTGAATTTTTTCTCTTAGGGGATTTTGTTTATCAGAATTAACCATGTTCTCATACAGAAATCACTACTCAAAACATTTTTAACTGATGTAGCTGTGCCTTAAAATAATTTGTTATATTGTCACATTTTCTTTCAGTGGTTATGACTGTTTAACATTTAATTATTAGTTTAAAAAATTTCTAATACCAAAATATTGAAATTTGCTTTCTTAATTTTAAGGTTCCCCCCTCTAAAATTCATTTCAAAATAAGTGAACAACATCATATTTATTATTTTTTTCAAACTGGAAATGAGTTCCCATCTTTGAATGGGTGGAGGCATTCCTTGGGGGCAGAGATCGAAATCAGTTCTTCTGAAGATAACTACTCACTTTAAGTAGGTAGGACATCAGTTTGTTTTCTTTGGAAGGCAACATGTTTGTCAATCTTAGCATCATTTAAATTTGGATTTTAATTCTCGTTACTACATAGTAATTTCATCTGGCTTTGTTGAAATGGCCTGATCAATAACTGTAGGTATATGCAGAGAAGCAGCTGAATGGGTTTCCGGTAAAGTATTTATCTAAGGACCAATCTGCAACTGTGGCGAATACAGTGATCACAGCTTGTATGGTTTCCTTTAGCTCAGTTAAAAAAAAATAAAAATGTAAAAACTCTGGAAAGATTAATAACCTTGAGCAATTAGGAATTTCATTTGTAAAGTTGGGGACAGGCAAGCATGCTTAGGGGTGAAATGGTATGCAGTATTAATTTGTCACATTGAGAGAATTTAAATTTAGCTTTCCATACTGGAAAGTTATTACTGATGCTCAAGACCATTAGGTAGACTTACTACCATTAACTAATGCACAGGTTTTTTTGTGGAAAATTGCTTTTTCTGTGGTCTCTTCCAATGTTAAATGGGCCTGAATTTTGTTAAGTAAAGCAGTGGCTAACTACAAAAAGCCTTGATTGTCACCTAATTCCGGAAAAAGCCAGTGCCATAGGTAGTTTCATTGTGTTACCGGAAATTCAGTTTTGTTTGGTAGGAAATGAGCCACGTTGCTGAACTATGAAGTAGTTGACGTGGCTTGAAGCTGTTAGGCTACATTCTAACTTTGATGTTCTGTATTTTAAAGGATTATGTGCCTGTAACAAGCTGACTACTAAGATTTCAAAGGAATTATTTTATGTAAAAGTTAAATTGGCACTGTATATTTTTGTAGTAGTTTCCCAAACTGTATTCCAGAATGATGGTAATAGTCTTAGAAGATTTGTGACATATTAGCATAATAAAGCACATTTTTGTATTGAAACCATGAGAAATTCTGAAGATGATGGTTTGAATTTGTTTAACCTAGCTCTCCTTACACCTTTGCCAGATTTTTAAAGAAAATTTTAAGATTATGTTAACATTTCTAAATGTTAGTTGAAGATCTAGATACTTGGCTGTTTTTTTTTTTTAATTGATTTGAGAGGAAGGGAGAAAGAGAGACATCACTTTGTTTTTCCATTTATTGATGCATTCATTGGTTGATTCTTGTATGTGTCTTGACTGGGGATGAAACTTTGCTCTTTTATCTGGAGAATTAGAGTTACTCTTGATAAATCAGCTGGGAAGGAGGTTGACTATTAATTAAAAAATGTGTTAAAGCCCTGGCTGGTGTGGCTCAGTAGATTGTGTACCAGACTGGAAACCAAATGGTCGGTGGTTCACTTCCCAGCCAGGGCATGTGCTTGGGTTGTCGGGCCAGGTACCCAGTAGAGGGTGCGTGAGAGGCAACCACACATTGATGTTTCTCTCCTGCTCTTCCTCCCTTCCCCTGTCAAAAATAAATACATAAAATCTGTTTTAAAAATAAAATAAAAAATAAAAATAAAATAAAAAGTAAAAATAAAACAAATGTTAATAAACTATTCAGTATTTATAAAAATAAAAAATATGTTAAAGTCATCTGGGCTTATATTTAGGATGTGCTGTTTACAATTTGGCTTAGTTATTTAAAGTCTTAAAGCCTCAGTTTTCTCATATTAGTAGTACCTACTTCATTAGTAGTATTATGACAATTATATAATGTAACATGTAAAAGATACACTATAGAGACTAGTATATGAAAAATAAATAATGTAAATTATAAAACATTGAAAATATTTTAATTTTTGCTGATGACCACTTTTGTGTCTCTTGTTTTATTTACAACCTGAGTATCAACTAGCTTTTTGTTTTCCATGTCAAGAACCGTGAAGTCTTTAAGATTTTATTTTACCATATTTACGAGGTAATAAATTAGTATGTCACTATTTCATGATTGCTGGCAGAGAACAGGAGACTCCCAGGTCAGAGGCAGATGACGGGATTATTACTCAGAGTGTAGCAAGCTGCATGATCATCAGCATTTTTGTGTAGGTTTTCCTTGTAACCAGGACCCAGGAGGGTGACAGGTCTAGATGGATGTGCCAGTGGGTCACAGCTGAGGAACTCAGGGCCCTTGCCCTGTACTTTTTAGCAGGCAGAAAACAATGTAGCAAACAAACAAGCTAGTTACCTTTCCCTGGGAGGGCAGTTAACATATGGTAACCTTGACCTTCTGTGTTGCCTATGTGTTTTATTACAAGAATTCACTCAGTTTCGGGAAATAGATAAGCTTTGTAGACTGTCACACTCAACAAGAATGTACAGGGACACTCAGGCCCATGGTGGACTGCCTTGCCCAGTAGAACATGTTCTGGATGAGATAATAAATGGTGATTTTTAAGTGCAGTGTAATTTACTTTTGTTTTCCCTTTTAAAGAAGTTTTGTAGTCTTTCACTGTATGTCGTTCTCTAGTTATGGCCTTCTTTTCTTGGCACAGCTCAGTTCCTTTGATCTTCACTTGTTTGTCTCCTTTGAACGTATCAATATTCTTTATCTGGTTTATATTCTTACCACACTGCTTTTACATCATCAAGGTTGTCCATTGCTTAATACACTAGATACTTTTCAGTTCTTGTTTTGCTTCATTTTTTGTTACATGACACTAAACTTTTTCCTTAAAACTTCTTCCTTATTTCTGATATGAAGAAACTTTCTACTCTTCTTTGACTTCTCTTGGTGAACTTATTTTGTGCTTCTTAAATGTTGATGCTTATTATGGCAAACACTATTGCAATAGCCTGTTGACTGCTTTTTTCCTTCATCTGACCATCTTCCAGTGTATCTTTCACTTGCAGCGCACGAGTCATGTCAGTGACCTCTTATTGAATTCCCCCTTCCTCTACTTTAATATTAATCTTTCAAATAGAAAAGTTGAAAGATTTTATAGTTACCAAGTAGGGTCTA